TTCTTGGTTTTGGAGCTGTCTCTGTTCTTTCCTGTGACCCTGGCAAGCAGCTCCAGACAGTGGTCATGCAGCATTTTAAAGTTTGTTTGTTTTTTTCCAGAGGTGGTGGTATATGAGCTCTAGTTCAAACAGAAAGACTAATTTCAATCCCCTGCCTTGTACAGTGTTCTGTCCTTACCTTCTTGCCAGAATTTAATTTCCAAATGGCATACCTTGTGTCTGATAGTACAGCATGTAGGACTTTTACCTTTCACCATCACTCCCTGTTACATGTTTTGCATTCATAAATCATTATTTGTCTTGCTTTTATGTGACTGGGTCTTTTTAAATTACTTTAGAAATTGATTTTGTCACTGCTGTGTAGTTTGTGCTTGGAGGAGAAGGGAATTTTCACATGAACTTGTTTCACTCTTCTAACCAGAGTACTTAAGGTATTTAGAAATGTAACTCCATGTTTGTTATGATGGATTTTATGGCTAAAAAGGGGAGAAAGATTCGTGTTAGGCAACCAGTAAAGGTTGTATCAACATGATGAGTGGAGAAGAGGAGGTGGGCTTTATAGACTCTGTAAATGGCAGGACTCTCAGAGTAAAGGAATACAGGAGAATCTGGTTGGACAGCAGGGCAGAAGTGGGGTGACATATTATGAAGCTTTGAGCTTGAGACTGTTTTTGTGACAGTTGCAGTTAGTAAGCATTTGGGAGTGAGAGAAATAGAAACTATAGTATCTATATCTTAGCATCATTTTATATGGTTAGTTGTTGAAACTATAGTTGTGAAAAAAATTATAGTAATTGGAGTGCAAGAAAAAAGAGTCTAATGATGGAATTCAGAGGGACCATTATCATTTATAGGGGCTACTGAAAGAAGAGAAAACGAGGAAGTGTCGTAGAGGAAGCAGAAAGACCCGTGCAGATCCGTGCAGTGGGGTGCTTCCAAAAGAGGAGCCGCCTGTAATGGCAGGGGCTTCGGGGGGGGGGGGGCAAATAAAATGACTGCAGCTGGTCATTAAGGCAGAAGCCAACTTAGAAAGAGGGTTGAAGAGGAAGAAAAGAGAGGCTCATAGCTGAGA